AAAAAAATTAGAGTTATTATTTTTTATATTAACAAATAAAGCAACTAAATAAATTAACTGTTACTAAAAGCATAAGGACAACTATTCTTTTTCACGTTTCTCAGCATCCATTTCTCAAGACTTTAATATTGTACTTAAGTTTCCTTAAATTTCTTTAAAACGAAACTGAAATTCCAACTTGCCATTGGAAATTTTAGGCCTATCATACATTAGAGAGCATGATTATTTTTACTCATTTTTTCTTGCAAAAAGAAAATAACAGTAAAAGTCTAGTGTAATAATTTTTTCCTTTGATAGTTCATATCATCCAATTCAAACAGTTACTCTAGCATTGACTCCAAGCAACAAAAGCATTTAATCACAAACTTGAAGATGATGATTTTATACATACTTTTCTAGGTTGAGACCACAAGTAAAATAATATTACATATTCTCCTATTGTCACAACTAGAAGCCTCAAAAGTAATACTATAAACCTAAAACAATGACACTGGTAACATTCAATTCAAGCATATTATATTGGAGTCTAGACATAGATTCACAAAGACATCATTCAAAAAATTTGAAACAAAATTTATCATTCACAAACACTAGTCGCCCACCTGCCTGAGGTCGATCCTTCGGAAGGGACTACGCCAGAACTAGATGCGCCCGAATCTGGTTCCAACCAGTCACCCATCTGCCTGAGGTCGATCCGTCAGAAGGGACTACGCCCAGAACTGGATGCTCCCAAATCTGATTCCAACAAGACCCCCAGTCTGGATGCGCCCGAATCTGGTTCCAACCAGTCACCCACCTGCTTGAGGTCAATCCGTCGGAAGGGACTACGTCCAGAACTGGATGCGCCCAAATCTGGTTCCAACAAGACCCCCAGTCTGCATGCTCCCTAATCTGGTTCCAACCAGTCTCCCACCTGCCTGAGGTCGATCCGTCGAAAGGGATTACGCCCAGAATTGGATGCGCCCAAATCTGGTTCCAACAAGACCCCCAGTCTGGATGCGTCCGAATCTGGTTCCAACCAGTCACCCACCTGCCTAAGGTCGATCCGTCGGAAGGGACTACGCCTAGAATTGGATGTGCCCAAATCAATTAGTAAACAAACAAAATTTGCGTCGAAAGAAACAAAGTTCGAAAACCCTAAAATAAATTACTTATATATATAGTAAGGGTATTTTGATAAATATCTCGGGTCGGGTCGGGTTTCACATAAACCCGACCCCGACCCGAATTTGACATTTTAAAAATAAAATCGACTCGAACTGACCCAAAACCTATTTTTTCAAAAAAAAAATCCGTCCTTAAATAATCGAGTCGGGTCGAAACCCGACGGTTTCGGATTGATTTGCCGACCATATTAACAACAGGGAAACCTGACCAGGAAAAAGCATCCATTTTACAGCATCATCTATATATTGAATTATTGATGCTACATTCATGATTACAAGTATATTAACCACATGCAGCAATCAAATTATAGTACAAAATCAGCTGGCCATTAACTAAAGAAGATGCAAATCTTTAAAAATTTACCCTAAAAATGGAATTGTGAAATCAAGTTACATGAAGAAATTTGTAACAGATAGCTCTCATTTTAGATGAGAATGACCTTTTCTTTTCATTCTTTTTTTATTATTAGCCAGCACAGAACACGCATAAGAAAGACAAATGGCAAAAACAATTTTGGAGAACAAAAAATAATCACAATTCTTTTCTCTCCCTTTCCTAGAAAAGAACATGTCTAAACAAATGCTCAAATGGAACTACAGCCCCAGAACCAACAGAAAAACATACATTAAAGAAACTGAAAAAAAAAAAAAAAGAAGATAAAATGTAAAATTCTTTTATTCTAAATCAATAATAACAAAGAAAAATGGAGAAAAAAAATCAAACTATCTACATGAATTTTGTAATTTCCTTATCATACACAACTTTTTTTTCTCCTAATTTTAATTAAATTAAATATTACTAATTCTTTTCTTATCATTAGAGGATACAATACCTTTTTACTATGCAATTTTCTTTTTTATTTTACAAATGAAGTTGAAATTTTAAAAAATAAAATATAAGTTGAGTTCATAAATATTAAGCATCCAACTTTGATTTTGTAAATTTTTAACTTTAATCATAAAAAATTCACCTTGTTATGATTTAAACCAAGCTTTAAGTTCGCATCATTTCTTCTTTTACTTCTTTTTTTCCTCGCCTTGCCGACAATTACATATCCCACGAAATAAAATTAAAAAAGTACCTAATAAATTAAGTTAATGCTTAAAAATACTAGTAAATTTTAAAACCCATCTTCCCTGCCCTACCAAACAATCTATCTTGAGCTAACAGCAGCTACACCTCCTTCCCCACCACAAGCGGAGGAGGCGGCACCACATTTCCCCGCACTCATCAGATGATGAAACACACCAGAACCGTACACGTGTCTTTGATGATGCCCCATCATCATCATCATCCCTCCATATATCCCGCCTCACCCATTAAACCCACCTCCACTAGCAATCCCTCTGCCAACAGCGCCATTGCTTCCACTTGTCCCGCCGGCGGAACCACCCCTAGCGCCATCTTTTTCTCCCCTTCCCATAGAGCTCTTCTGACCTTCCATCTCCCTATACTTGTGTAAATAAATCTTCAAGGATTCAACATACTCTTCGAAACCAAGCGTCGTCATGGCACAAAGCAAATCATCGCCGTTAATCGTCTTCCGCTTTACACGCTAACACTTGTCGGAAGCTTGGCCGGTGATGAAACTGATGAACTCGGAAACGCATTCTTGGACCGTTTCTTTACGTCTTTGGAGATCTTAACGTTTGCCGGTAATGCCTTTTTCATGATCCTGCTTACGTTTGCAATCGGTAAAAGCCTGTCTTGTCAACGCGCTGAGTTTCGCTGTGCGCGTTCCATCCGGTTGTTGTGTCCCCCGATTCATTGTCCGAATCCGCATAAAAAATAATAGTAAAAAAAAGAATAACACAATTCCCAGAAATTTTCTATACGTAAGCGGAGAATTTGGAGGTATGCTGAGGGTAGAATAGGGATTTCCCGATGAGGGTTTCGCTATTCGGAAGGAAGACGGGTTCCGGTGAAGAGAAAGGGAGGTCGGATGCACAGAGAGAGAGAGAGAAAGAGAGGGATTGTTAGCGTCCGTTGGATCGATGAGGTAATAATGCATCGGAGATGACACGTGGTTGGACGTGGACTGTTGTTTATCGATTAGAGTGGAATTTGGGTCGTACGATTCTCGTAGCTAAGATTTGTTGATCTAAACGGTTTGAAAATGAAACACGTGGTGAAGGAGAGAGTGCGTTTCGTGAAGCACGAGAGAATCTTTAGGCGGCTGCTGCAGCTTGGGGATGTTGGCTGGCTTCAGCTGAATGGAGCTGGCAATGGGAACTCATCATCATCCATGATGTCGGCACACTTGACAGATTGTGGACCTCTGATATTGCATGTGCGTGATTACGGAGCTTTCCAAATTTTTAGTGCCCTATTCTCCGATTTGCCACGTGAAACCGGAAACTTCATCTTTAGTTCGATTAATATCTGAAAAGAATGTAAATTCAAAATAATTTTATTTAAAATAATATGAATTTAAATTTAAATTTTATTTATAATTATTTAAAAAATAATATTTAATAAATTTAATGTTCGAATTTTAATATTTATAAATTTTTTTTAGGTTATGAGTTTTTTTTTTCGTAACAAAAAAATAATTTGTCAAATCTAATTTAATATGTGCATTTATCAACGCTTAGATATGTACGACACTTTACTATTTCTTTTAAAATAAGGTGTATTTGGATGGACTCAAACATGGTGAGATACGAGGGTGAGAAAAAGAAATAAAAAATTAGTTTAAAATTGTATTATTTAATTTAGTTTAAATTAATTTTTTATTTAGTTTGAATTAAATTTAGATATTAAATATATATCAAGTTTTAATTTAATTTTGAATTAAAAAATTAAAAATTAAAAAATCGAATGAAATAAAATTATATATTTTTATTAATTTTTTATATATTTAAAAAAAATTTTAAAATAAAATAATATTTTATATTTAAATTTATTTAATTATAATAAATTTTATATTAAAATAATATATAAAAAATAACAAAATAAAATTTGAAAAACTAATAAATGAAGCAAGGGAATCGATAAAATGTAATTCAAATTAAATCAAATTAAAAAAATTATTAAAATTTGAATTTAATTTAAAATTTTTTATTATTTAAAAAAATTGACTCGAACCTCATCCTACTTATTACCACTCCTTGTAGGACATCGAGACCGTGAACATTAATGGGCTTATTCATATATTGGATTGGAAAGATTGTGGGTTATATAAACTATATTATAAATTCAATTAATCTATTTAAAAATCTGAAAACAAAAACCGATCGAATAAATTGAATTAACAAAGTACACTTTTGAAATTAACCAAATGATCCGAATTGTTTTAATTGAATTTCTTTTATTTATTTGATTAATTCAATTTTAGTGAAAATTTATTTGCATGCTCTCTATATGTATAATTTTACTAACTACATTTGTAAAATTTAAAAATTTTACTTATAGTAATTGAGATCATTTATATATATATATGGAAGAATAATCAACTTACACAATGTAAAATTAAAATTTTTTTTATATATTTTTAATAATTTTAATAAATCTAAAAGATAAGAGAAAGATAAATAAAAAATAAAAAAATAATTTAATCTCATTCTTCAGATATATTGAAATCAATATTTAAAAAATATATAAAATTTTTTTAATTTTACATTGTGTAAATTGATTTCATATATATATATATATATATATATATGGGAGAGATCAAGTTACATAATAAAAATTTTACTCTTTTTTATTCTTTTAATTATTAATTTCAATAGATCGATTTGATGAGATTAAACTTTTTTTTTATTTTTTTAACTTATCTCTCTTATTTCTTAGATTTTTTGAAATTAATGATTAATAAAAAATATAAACTTTTAATTTTATATTCGTGTAAGTTGATTTTTTCTATATACATATACATGAAAGTAACGAAATTGGATATATGAGAAAGTAAGAGGAAATTGGACTTGCATCTTCAACTTTATTCCTTTAAGACAAATAACAATCACAGTCCAATTGCGCTATATATTTATTGGAACTAGAGAATATGCTGATTTTTCCAAAGGTGTGTATATTTGGGTTATGAAACCATTAAAACTGAAAACTCTTACCTCAATGGAGGGGAACATTACCTTCAGTGAGCCAAAGCTCACAGTAGCATTAACTTTGCAACATTCTGAATTGTATTGTTGGATTTATATGAAACATTAACTTGAATATGGGACTTAAGACTTGATATCCCTTTGCCAAACTACCATGATCAGAAATTGAGGGTGTAGTTTTTGATAAATTAAAGTGTAGCCGGTTTGCTTTACAAAGTACTGCAATATTGAAAGCTGTTGAATATTGCTTTCTCAGACATATATAAATCAAGATAGAGTGAAAAAAAAATAAAAAGGTAATGATATGCATCATATCATAGTTGTGGAATATTGGAAATATATATAGGCTAAAACTAGAGAAGAAATTCTTGGAGACAATGGATAAGAATATTATTACAAATGAAAGGGATAAAGGGAGAATCTCATCACATAATATAAAGAAGATTATTCTACTGTCTTGTTCGACAGTTTACTTTTTATTTATTCACTTTTTTTAACAAAGGAGATCGTAATCTGATGATAAAGAAGGGGATTAAAGTGATTGCATGATCAAGTAAGCTAAACCTCGGGTTATTCTTGTTATAGTAGAGTTAAAGTAGCTGAGCATGTCAGTTTGATTTTCACTACAAAGCCTCTTAAAAATATATTCGTTATTTTAGTAATGGTTCTAAACCAAGAGTAATTGATGACAGCCTAAGAACTCACTGCTATATGCTCTCTGATTTAATCTTCTTTTAATCTCCTTCTTTTCTCTATTTTCAAATAAGATAAAGGACAAGGGTCTCATTCACCTCAAATAAGACACATGATGTAAAATTGTCTCCACCCTGCTTGCTTTATTCTTTCACCCATTTTACTCTGCCCTTATTTTCTTTCAAATTAACATCTAACGCTAATCATAATGCAATATATATAAAACAGAAACCTTGTCTTTTGGAACGATCCTTAAGCAATCACTAATGAAAAAACTTGAATAATTAAACAATGTCCAAGAGAGCATTTTTAATGTTCATGATCACTTTCTGCAGGTTCGGTCTAGCAATATGATCCTTAGAAGTACAACACCTCTCAAAGCCATTTCTGGGTTGATTTAATGTTAACAGATCAAAAGAAAACATAAAGCAGCAGCTTCAGATAGCCTTTTGGTAATCGGCCCAATCTGAAAAGAATTGATTAAGTAGTTGATATTTGTATAAAATTTTGCTTGACAGTACTGTTTTAATTTAGTGAATCTACTTTAACTAACATAACATGGTATAGTTTTAGCTTAATTTTCTCTAGGGACCCACAAATGTTAAGATCAAAGATATTAGATGTAAATGTACAAGAAAAGGAAGATAAGGGGAAAAGAATGAAAGTGGATGTCCATCAAATTGGCCATGGCCTGTGAACTTTTGATACCTTTAATGAGCATTAAGAGAACATAAAGGGTCATCTAGTACAAGTGCTTTATGGGGGTATCCAAAGCTGAAGGACCATGATAAATAAATTTATGAAAATGTGGCAGCATATATAGAATATTGCTGGAATATTAGATTTCTAAATTTGAAAAGTTACAGCAAATCCAGATGGATCAAAAAAACTTAAAAACACTTGAAGTAAAAACGCAAAAGATCATGATCTTAAGCTTCAATCTCAAACCTTGAACACTTGATGGAGCCCATGGATATGTCAATCTCAATCAGGTTGTCCTCATTCATGTCATTGAGCTCTGCTAGGAGCTCCATTAGACTCCGTTGCTGGAAAATGGATTCAGGCATGAAGTCTGGCAGTTTCTGCTGCATACTACACTTAGTAGGCTCGTGTTCCTCGTGACTAACATAATGTCCTCCAGGAAGGGAGATTTCAATAAGGCTATCCTCGTCAGATATCGATCCATCGGAGTAATCTAGGCTTTGATCCATGTTGTCTCGAAACGGCCAGTCCATTTCAGAATCCTCAGTGGTTGACAACTGATCAACACATTCATTTTCGGACATGACATCTGGTGATCTGACAATGTAGTCATGCATCTGATATGAACCACCTTCCCGGCCTTCTGAGGCTTGTTTTTTATGTGTATTAATTTCACTTTCATGCTGTTGTTTTGATGCCAAAATATCTTCTATTTGAGGGGAGCTTTCATGAACAGATTTGCGAATCTCTTCTTTAACTGATTTCTCCACCAACTTCGGTTTTCTTTTAGAAAATATGAACAGAAGGGTTGACAATATCAAGACTGTAGATGTGAAGAGGATGGATAAGGACCCGAAGATAAAAAAAGTAGCAAATGTGATCAGTGGGGCAAGAAAAACAATCCATGACAGTGGGTTGTTGAGGAGAAAAAAAGAAGCCATCTGGTGCTGATCCTCAACTATATTTTCCAACTCCATGGACTAGAAAAAGGCTCTTATATCAGTAAGTAATAACCTGACAAAAAGAACTATACAAGGGGAAAATATCCTATTCCTTCCACTGGCTAGGAAGATCAGCAAGTGAGATCAGAGAAGATAGAAGCAGAAGGAGTAAAGATTATATTACTAGAAAATCAAATTATGAAAAAGGCTAAAAAAAGCAAGCAGAACTGATGTAACACCTGACTTGAGTATAGACTGTAAGTGAGAATGAAGGGTATATGCAGAAGAAAGAAGAACTTGGCAGTCTCAAACTTCCATTTTTCCTACTGATTTCTTGCGTTTGAACAAAAAAAATACAGATCCACAGGAATCATACCCGTAAAAAGGGAAGGGGGATTTTGTAGGACATATATATGATCGCCAGTTCAAATAAATAGCAGTACCAAAAAGGCAAGAAGAAGGAAACCAACTTTGCCAGTTTGCCTGTATTCTGCTTAAGGATATGAGGGAGGTAACACCTAAAGTGGTTTGCAAAGAGGAAGCAAGTTGGATGTAAAGAACATTGTGTTTTTGGATTACAAAACTGGACTGTGCAAAGTAGGACTAAATTTCTGGGTTGTTTTTCTCCCTACTGCAACTGATTCTCTTGAAATCCACAAAACCCATGTTTTCACTGTATTGATTTACAGTCTCAAAACTTCGAAATGAGAGAAGCCATGTGCACACATCTGAGCTCACCACATGGCACTTTCCCTCCAACTTCAGTGGCTTCAGGAAAAAAAAGAAAAGAAAACCCTGAAGAGAGAGAGGATTTATTATATTTATTTATCTGCCCAACCCATTTTTCTCTTCGACCAACCCCAAGAACCCTATTTATCAAAACCAGAAAACCATACCTGAATCTTCAGAAAACAGTGAAAAGAAACACCATTCTTTCATCCACCATTATATGCTCATCTTTTGTATTTCCCCAAATCAAAACAACCAATACCATATGACAGAGCTTTTCTTCAAAATGCTTTATCTATATACTCTCAGGAAAAGACCATTCTTCCTTTGAAACTTCAAGAGTCAAGACTCCCCATTGGAGATTATAAACAGAAATAAAACAGCTAGGTTAGCTTTATGGAACACTGAAATCAGAAATAACAGTAACATCTAACTAGTCAAATATGAAAGCTTTTTTGATATGTCAGGACTTTACATGCAATTATAAAAGACTACTAGTAATTAATAAAGAATCCCTTGATCTGCAAGAATGTTATAAGCATCAAAAGGCTAGAGAGAGGAAAGAAAAGTTAAGATAGGATCATGTGCTTTCCTCCATTATAAAAACATCTAGACAAACAAAAGGAAGAATGTTCACTGTATAATTGACTTAAACACTTCAACTTGAAATATGTCTGAATTAATACAAATGTATTTGCGTCAAAAATCAAGTGGATTCCCAATAATCCGTACTGAAAGTTTTGTTTTCTTTAATACGACTCACTGTATATTATGTTCCATTCATGTCAAGTCATTTCATAGACAATTGTAGTGCCTCCATTGGGTAGCTGAAAAAATTTATAAGCAAATAAAAGAATCCCTTTCTTTTTCCTCGTTTCTTCAATCAGTCTAAGAGCAAAAAGGTCCTTCCATATGCATGTCCCAATCTGCAAAAGCCCGGAACAAAAAAAAAGACGAAAAGAAAAAAAGAAAAGAAATGGTTCTTCCTACTTATAAATACCAAGAAATAATTTCCCTAGCTCTAGGAAATCTTTTTAGGAGATATACTATTATAGTATTATAGTAGAAGTGAATTCATGCCTTTATATCAAAATAATAATAATAAAAGAAATCATGCCTTTAATTTGTTTTTGTGTATTTATTCTGATGACTGATGATGAATTCAAGAGATGATTTAAGTCTATGCTTAAAGATATATGGCTCTACCTACCGAAACTTAGCAGGCCCACTCTCTCGTTTAAAGCACCGCAACGCCGTGCCGGAGGTCTGCTCCATCCAAAATCATATACTAGTATGTATATAATATTGAGCATTTTTTGCATCTGAGTTTACAGCCTTTCTTTTCCCGAGGTGCTTGAGGCTCATGCCCTAATCTTCTTCTACCAACTTCTTGAAATCATGATGAGCTTTGCGCTTTTCATTTATATCCTCATGCTGGGTTTGGATTAATCATTATTAAGGCTTTTCACTTTCCAATGGCCAAAAAAGGCAAAAATTACTACACCTAACACCAACTATGATGCATGAACATACTATACAATAATGTAGTAAAATTATGTGTTTGATCATGCTTATGCAATTAAAATGTTATCTTTTTATTAATTCTTCACCAAAAAGTTGTTTCCAAATGCATTTTATCTTTTGCTTTAATAATTGTTTAAGTAAACATTAAAATATATGAGAAACATATATAAGAAACGTACACTAAGTGTAGGTTCATATATTGAAAAAATTAGAAAAAAGGGGGCACTGTGAAAAAGAATTATAGAAAAAGGAGATTTGAACTTATCATTATAATTCTTTAGTATATAGTTTTTGCTAGTATAAAAATTTTACTAAACTTGTTTGTTGACTCAATTTTCATTACAATTTATTTTTCAGAAATCCTAATTTATTAGAGTTTCAACTATTAGCAAAAGTTGATTTTGAACCTTTAAATAAACTGAAAAAAAAATCTTCAAAATTTCATTTATCTTTTCAAGTCTACAATTTTATGAAGTAGCTAGAAGTAACTTATTTTGAACCAAATATTATAATCATTAATAGTTGTCATAACATATAGATCTATAGACTTATAGTTAGACACGACCTTAGGAGTCATTATCAATCTTTTTATTTAAGTGTGATTGGTCACCTAATGAATTTATCCTCTTAAGAACTTCTAAGCTTAACTAAGAGTACTTAAAAGAATAAATTTTGATCTACTAATCAAAACAAGATTCGTGAGTTCGATTATATATGAAAAAAGTTATATCACCCCCACATGTCCATCCAAAGGATGGTACCGTTTTTATTTTAAATTATCCTAAAGTTTTTTATTTTAATGGTTTAAATTTAATATTGAAAATAATTCTTAAGATTTTTTCATCAATCTAGTAGAATTCTTAAAAATAATTTTTCACCTCAAAAGTATTAAAAAATCTCATTTATTTTCTTAAAGAGGCTCTATTATCGGAAAGCTTAATCAATTTTTTATTTTTTATTGCAAATATATCTAATTTTTTCACTATTTGGATTTAAACTAGAAATATTTTCTTACTTAGAAATGTCTTAGATATTCATCCATTTGTTATTATTAAGAATTTTATTATCGAAATTTTATTTTTTTTTATTTTACAAGTTTTATTTCTAAATTTTCTACTAGTTGAGTCTATTTAGAAAAATTTCCTACAAGTTTCATAATCTTTGGAAAGAAAATAATATGACAATTATTTTTTAAAGTCCCATTTAAATTTTTTCATCATTTGGATTAAATTTAGAAAAAACTTTTTTACCTAGAAATCTTATGAAAATTCAACAATTTGTGATTTTTCCTCAAGATTTCATCTTGGATAATTGTCAAATATTTTCACCCAAAATTTTTAGTTTTATTCTTAATTTTTATTTGGGAAAGGAATACAATTATTTTTATTGGAATTTAATCTAAATTATTCTACTATTTGAGATAAATTTAGAGAAATTTCTCATCTAGAGATTTCTTAAAAAATTTATCATTTGAAATTTTTAAGAATCTCATTTTTGGATAATTAGTATTTATTCCCAAAATTCATAAAATTTACCTATATACACATTTTTTTAAAAAAAATTAAAAATAAATATTAATTATTATTATTAAAACTTTATCTAAATTTTCTTCAATTTGAGTCAAATTTAAAAAAATTTATCACCTAAAAATTTTATAAAAATTATCCTTTTATATTTTCTAAAAATTTCATCATTGGATAATTATTATTTATTCTCAAAAGTTTATAAAATTTTTATTTTATTTTATTTTATTTTATAATTTTTTCTCTAATTTTCCTAAAAATTAATCAAACAATAAAAAACAACAAATAAATAAATAAATAAAACCATAAATAAAATACCAAATAAATAAAAGCTAAATAAAATACCAAATAAAAGAAAATCAGCTAAGCTTTAGTGGCTTGAAAGACTCGACTGTAAGAAGGATGGATAGCTGAAGTAGCTTACACATCGGCTTGACTCGACTACAAGAAGGATGTTGGGAGTGGGTTGCGAATTGGGGCCACACGCGGGCGTGGGTCGAGCAGAAGAAAAAGCACGGATCTTGTAAAAACTAAAACACCAAAAATGATGCATTTGGTAGACGTATAAAAAGGCCAAAATTTTCTTTTTTCCTCAGATTTTTTATTCTCCTTCTCTCTCATCTTCTCTTTTCTTTGTTATTTCTCTAGAAAACAGATGAATCTCTAATTGAATCTTTGTTGAAAACTAGAAAACTCCCACCAAAAACTGAAAAATACCACTGAAAAATAATGAATTTCAACAAAAATTTTTGTTGAAATCTAAAAATTTTTCAAAAAAAATTCCAAAAAACTCACTCTAACACTAGATCTTTCTCTTAATCTTCTATAACCTTTTAGCAACACCAAATCAAACTTCCCCAATTCTAAAAACCCAAATATTTTTTCTGCTAGAAACTTTTCTAAAAAAAGAAACCAAAAATCTCGCACTTGTACTCTCTCTGCTTTTCGCTGTGTATTTTTTTTTGCCAATTTGTGTTTTTTTTTTTGTATCCCTTTGATTGCTTCTGGGTTCATATTTATAGGGTTTGAAATTATAAAAACCCTATACTAAAAAGAGTTTTAATTTCCCTTTAATTCAAACTTCAAACCTTAATTTTAATCTAAACTTTATAATTTAAAAAAACAGTTCTAAACAAATTTGACCACTCTTTAAACTTTCTTAACTTTTCTTTTTACGTTTTTTTTTTTACATTAAAAAACAAACAGTTACAACCTCAGATAAATTGAGGTGTTTACCACAGTCATTTGATTTGTTAATAGAGTACTAAATTTTTATTTTAGTAATTAGAATTCAAATCTTGATAATTTCAAATAAAAAAGCTTCAATAATTAAATCACTAATTTTATTATTACATCCTCTATAATTACATCTTTTTAGAATTATTATAAAAAAAAAAGTTCAATTTACTTTTTGTAAATGTCCCAAGCTAAGCTAAATTTAGAATTAGCCAGGAAGTGTCTTCACTTCAATCATTTACCCTTAGCCTTATATATATGTATGTATGTATGTATGTATATATCTATTGCTTTCATATTTCCTCTTTGATATATATATATAATATGCATATATATATATATATATTGTCCATATGCCTCAATCTTATGCCACTTTGAAATATTAAACAATGAGATGCAATTAAGTTTTTCTTATCTTTTCAAGTTGTATATACTTCCCCTTATATCCGTACAAAAAATATATATTTAAGTTTCAAAGTTATTAACTTTATATAATGTTAGGATTACTATTCTAGTCATTGATTAATGAACTTTTAAATTTTACAAACGAATTTATGTACATAATTTTCTTTTATATTAACATATTGTATTAAAATTAGATAAAGTGAATCATCGAAACAACATTTGTAATAGGAAATTAACCACCAACTACTTGATAAATAGAAAAATTTTGCGAGGAGGACCTAAAACGTACAAGGTGCCACTTGTCGGCCAGTTGTGCAAGTAAAGCAGTGCCGCATGAAGCCCTAACCACATCACCTTTTGCTCAACATTTTGACTACAACACATTGGGAACAAAAACGTTTTGGAGAGCCTTTGGAGCAGCATTTGTCTTGAGAAAAGGAATGAGACCAAGAAATCCGACCGGTGTTGGGGAGTAGTGATACTTAAGGAA